TCTACTAGAGGTACTCCTCCCTCTACGCCTAGCCAGGTCTCAGTAATACCTGCCAGGTCCGCACCCCCCTCTAAAATAAGGTCTTGTATGAGGGGGGCCTTATTAACCACGGACCTGGCATTACATAACATCAGCCGATGGTCCCGGGCCGGAGGGTCTAAGTCTCCTGGGGACCGAGTAGAGACCTGAGGACCGGAGCCCTCACAAGCTTGTAAATAGCGTGTGCGTGCTCCCCTAACTTGATATGGTCCTCTGCTCCCGCCATATCTGCCCCTCCCACAGATCGTACTAGTTCACTTACCAACCATGGCAGAAAAGGTCACAAAAGAGACAGGGCCCACTTAACAACCGCTTTGTTAGCAATGGAAGTTCTGCTTGCAAATGTGGTTGTAAGTCAAAGACCACCTATATTAGGAAAAGAGTGCAGTGGTCCGTTTAAAACTCAGCTCAGAAGGAAAGCCAGCAAAATAAATGAAGCAGACTAATTGACTATGTAGGGATTCTAGGCTAAGCTCTCTTTTGACTCCGCCCCCAGGTTCTGCCACTCCTGCTCCCACAACTACATTCTAAGAAAGTTCACACACAAACACACACACACAGAGAGAGAAAGAGAGGGAGTGAGAGAGAGAGAGAGAGAGAGAGAGAGAGAGAGAGAGAGAGAGAGAGAGAGAGAGAGAGAGAGAGAGAGAGAGAGAGAGAGAGAGAGAGAGTGAGTGAGTTACACTGGGAAAATTGAACATAAACATCAGGAGGGACATATTGTGATTATTTCAGAGAATGAGAATATGTTTACCTTCTGAGCTTTGCCAGAATGCATAAGCTTTCATTCGGAAGGCAGTACGGAGTCGGTCTCGGTTAATCAAGACAACGTTCTTAGACTCTTTGGAAGGACTTTCTTCAATTGCATCTACATTCAGAGGAGTAAACAGCTTTCCTTTAGGATTGCTACCACGAACACGATCCAAGAGACCCAGCTTTTGGCTAAAAAAAGATAAGGAAAAGGATCAAGGTTTTGTTTTGTTTTTCATCCCTCATTTTAAATCTAGTTTGTCCTTCCTGGCGTACATCAGGTGAGTAACAACAGCCAGTGAATTACAGCTTTCTTCTTCGCTCCCTTCAATTTTGCCACTGAAATGATGGGGGGAAAATGGCTCAGTGTGTGTAAGTGTGTGCGCACACACACACCTGTTTTTCTGTTCTTTTGTCTTTAAAAGTGAGGGATTTTAAATAGAGCCAATCATCAGGAGACTGTGAGTTCTAGTTCTGAATTAGGCATGAAAATCAGCTGGGTGACTTTGAGCCAATCACAAAGAGACTGTGAATTCTAGTCCTGTTTTAGGAATGAAAATCGGCTGGGTGACTTTGAGCCAGTCACCAGGAGACTGTGAGTTCTAGTCCTGCCTTAGGAATGAAAGCCAACTGGGTGACTTTGGGTCAGTCACTCTCTGGCAGGCCAACTCACTTCACAGAGATGTTGTAATGGGAAATATAGGAGGAGGAAGGAGAATTAGGTATGATTGCCACCTTGCCTTGATGGTGGCCCAAGGTCATCCAGTCAACTTTCATGCTTAAGGTGGGACTAGAACTCACAGTTTCTTGGTGATTGGCCGAAAATCACCCAACTAGTTTCCATGCCTAAGGTGGGACTAGAATTCACCGTCTTCTGGTTCCTAGGCCAGCACTTTAACCACTAGACCAGGGGTAGGCAACCTTGGCTCTTTTATGACTCGTGGACTTCAACTCTCAGAATTCCTGAGCCAGCATGGCTCAGCTTGGAAACCTCTCCCTTTCCCCTCAGCATGGCTCTGAAGACTTGCATTTCGATAGACTCAAAATAGATCTGTTTTATCCCTCATATGTAAAGTTTGGGCCGATACTTTTATGTGTGGTCATCAATGTGCTGGATAAAAGCCAGTTCAGTCTTCCAGGTCAGAGGTCTGCAACCTTGACAACTTTAAGACTTGTGGACTTCAGCTCCCAGAATTCCTCAGCCAGCTGTGCTGGCTGAGGAATTCTGGGAGCTGAAGTCCACAAGTCTTAAAGTTGTCAAGGTTGCAGACCCCTGCTCCAGGTAGTAGAAATTGCACATCCGTTCTGTGACCACATACCTCTAGTCCAGGGGTAGGCAACCTTGGCTCTTTTATGACTCGTGGACTTCAACTCCCAGAATTCCTGAGCCAGCATGGCTCAGCTTGGAAACCTCTCCCTTTCCCCTCAGCGTGGCTGGCTCAGGAATTCTGGGAGTTGAAGTCCACGAGTCATAAAAGAGCCAAGGTGGACTACCCCTGCGCTAGACCAAACTGGCTCTCTTATACTTCTCTTCTTTCTTGCCAGATTTAAGTTTAGGCTTTTTCTTTTTCAAAATAAGAATGTGGAATGTAAAAGGAGTAGGCTACTTCTGAGACATTGGGATAATCTGCCGTTCCAGCACCCAGGTTCACAAGACCTTGGTAATGTGGCCAAATCTGGATCGTTAAGGAAGCCATTTTTGTTTCAGAAGCCAGCCTTCCACTGATCACTACGCTAAAGTATCTGCTGTTTCTTCTCTCTGTCTCTTCAGACCAAGGAAGAGACAGGATGTGTAAATTTCTCTCTCTCTTCTCCCCCATTTCTTCTAACAGCTTCTTGGTGCTTTCTCAGATCTTGAAGTGAGAACTTGGTTGTTCTAATTTGCTCAATTCCCCAAGGAAAAGATAAAAATAGCCCTCATCTCAGGCAGACAGAGGGAGAAAGATGCTCCCTCAGCAGAGCAAGTCTCCTGTGTTTTTCTCTTTCTGTCCTCATGGACTCAGTTTCCCCCAGATCCTTCACCTTTCTCTACCTTTTAACCTTCCTTTATCCCTCTATTTTCCTATTTCTTCTAAAGTCGCAGGAAGCCCTTGACTTACAGCCTAATATTGAGCCTAATATTTCTGTTGCCAAACAAGCAGTTAAGTGAATTTTGCCTCATTTTATGACCTTTCTTGCCGCAGCGGTTAAGTGAACCACTGCGGTTGTTAAGTTAGTGACATGTTGTTAAGTGAATCTGGCTTCCCCATTGACTTTGCTTGTCAGAAGGTCGCAAAAAACATGACCCAGGGACACTGCAACCGTCGTAAATACGAGCCGGCGGCCAAGAGTCCAAATTTTGATCATGTAACTCATGATGCAACGGCCGTAAGTGTGAAAAACGGTGATAAGTCACTTTTTTTTCCAGTGCCACTGAAACTTTGACCGGTCACTAAAGGAACGGTTGTAACTTTGAGGACTGCCTGTATTGGGTTCTACTGATACGTCTGCCTTAAAATTTGTGAACGCTGTCTCAAACATTACTTCCCCCACCTCCATAACTCATCTGAAGGAATGAGAAAAGGATGCTGTCTTAAAAAGAATACCAACCACACTGGAGATTCGAACTGCGTACCTGGTGCCATCCACTTGTTCTTTCCTTTGGGAAGATGGAACGGAGAGGAAACAGTGGGAGAAAAGCAGTGGGAAAGAAGAGATGTTAAATAGGATATTAAACTTCAAAGGACATTAGCATTACCGGTTTTGACACCTAGTGGCTACATTTGCATATCAGATTTAATCCAGTTACAGGATTAAAAATGAGATGGGTTTGAATGATACGTTCCCGATTGTGTTACTCCAATGGTTTCACTTTGCACAAGAGGCAGAGATACAATAAAGCAAAACCAGGTTAAAACTAACCACGCTTTGCATGCTGTACAAATGATACTCCTGGATCTTTCGTTGCTTCGCAAAGTCAGCCAATAGAGATACTACTCATACATCACTTCTGCTTTTATTCTGGGGACTCCTGTCCTTATATGTAATTAGTAAATAGTAGTAACTGGGAGATGGATCTTGGAGTCCTAGTGGACAATCACTTAAATATCATCCAGCAGTGTGCTGCAGCTGCCAAAAAAGCCAACACAGTCCTAGGCTGCATTAACAGAGGGATAGTATCAAGATCATGTGAAGTATTAATACCACTTTACAATGCCTTGGTAAGGCCACACCTGGAATACTGCATCCAGTTTTGGTCACCATAATGTAAAAAAGATATTGAGACTCTAGAAAGATTACAGAGAAGAGCAACAAAGATGATCAGGGGACTGGAGGCTAAAACATATGAAGAACGGTTGCTGGAATTGGTCTAGTTTAATGAAAAGAAGGATGAGGGGTGACATGGGTGTTTTGATTACATAAGGATCCTCATACAAAGAGCCCATCCAATCAATCAGAATAGAATAGAGCTGGAAGGGACCTTGGAGGTCTTCTAGTCCAGCCCCCTGCTCAAGCAGGAGTCCCTATATCATTTCAGACAAGTGGCTGTCCAGTGTCTTCTTAAAAACCTTGAGTGATGAAGCACCCACAACGTCTGAAGGCAAAGCTGTTCCACTGGTTAACTGTCCTCACTGTTAGGAAGTTTCTCCTTAATTCCAGGTTGCTTCTCTCCTTGATTAGTTTCCATCCGTTGTTTCTTGTCCTGCCTTCAGGTGCATTGAAAAATAAACTGACCCCCTCCTCCTTGTGGCAGCCCCTCAAATACTGGAACACTGCTATCATGCCCCCCCCCCAGTCCTTCTTTTCTCTAGAGTGGCCATACCCAAATCCTGCAACCGTTCTTCCTATGTTTTAGTCTCCAGGCCTTTAATCATCTTAGTTGCTCTTCTTTGCACTTTTTCCAAAGTCTCAACATCTTTTTTTGTAAACCACTGTTAAAATATAAAATATTTTCCCAACTGAGATCCTTTAGGCCTGAACTCCCATAACCCTTAAGTAACAAGAAGGCATTGAAGGAAGGGTCTGCAAGTGATTAACAACACTTTCCACCACCACCCCTCCCCGTTACAAAGCTTGTCCTTTTACATGCCCTCCTCTCCAGTTTTGGCTTGGATGATCCTTCAAATAAGCCAAATAGAAAAACTGAACCAAAGGAATGTGCTGAACTTACTTGAAATATGGAAATGATACAATGGACTCGTAAAACCTCCATGTGGCCACAAGATCTATCCTATTGGGATTAGTAGCGTAGTACCTCCAGGCAGCCTAGGAAACACAAAAGAAGCAATGGCTGTGTCTAACAAACAAGTGCTATGGCGGAAATTTTACAGATTATCTAAATACTGAGTATTAATCAACTAAATACTGAGCAATGTAAGAGACAAAATCTGGGTTTGTTACTGATTCTTCATCTGGCGTTGAAGGTTGTTACAATCACCCTTTTCCCATCCAGCAAAGCAAAAGTGAGGCTTCAGAGCACATTGGTGAAAAGTAGGGCAGATATATGATGCATCAGGGTATTATTATCTGTTCAGTCCCAAGTGTCTTCTGAACTTGGAGCTCAAGCACTATTAACATCTTCCTTCCCCTGTCCTGACCACTTTCTACAGGGGGACAATCGAGAGCATCCTGTCATACAGCATCACAGTCTGGTATGGAGGCATCACTGCTTCAGACAGGAAGGCAGTGCAGAGAGTGATGAGGATGGCCGAAAAGATCATTGGCAGACCCCTCCCTTCCATCCAGGACATAGCACAGAAGCGTTGCTTGAGCAGGGCCCACAAGATTGTCTGGGACGCTACGCATCCTCTCCACCACCTGTTTTCCCTGTTACCTTCTGGGAGGAGGGGGCTTCGTGGTATCCGTAGCAGAACATTCAGATTCAGCCAGAGTTTCATTCCATTCAGTGTTAACCTTGAGAACTCTCAAGCTTCCTCCTTCCGTTATGTATTCAAGATGGACAGTATTTAATATTTATTTGCTATGTATATGTAGGGGTGTGGGTCTATACATATGTTGTACATAGTATGTTTGAAAGCGGGCAACTAAATTTCATTTTTGATGTGTGCCGTTGTGCCCACAATAAAAATTATCTGATTATGACAATAAAGATTATCTTATTTATCTTATCCCTCTCTGAAGGAGGCTTACACTGCAGAGTTGTAGAATGTGGCTTTTAGTGGCCACCAAAAGAAGCTAAGATACATTCTGTTTCTGTTCCCAGCACAGTTCCTCCTACTTCCACACAAAAACAAAAAAAATGGATTTTTCCCTTTTTCACTTCAAACTTGGGGGGGGATGAGAAAAAAACCTCTAGAATGACTGAGGGGCACCGAATTTGCAGAGAGCAGCGACCCATGAAAAGAGGATCTGAAATGCATACGGCTGCTCCTGTGATTTTTTTCAGCGAAGAGATCTGAGATCAGTGAGCCCCTATAGCAGGGGTCCCCAACCCCCAGGACGTGGCCCATTTGGAACCGGGCCACACAAGAGGCAGGCAAGAGTGTGTACAGCTCCGTTTGCGCGAGCGGCAGGCACACACAGAACCATCCCCTATCCCTCCCCCGGGCCACAAAACAGGAAAGTTTGGAGACCGCTGCCCTATAGGAAGGAGACGAACAGAGCCTGGGAGGTGGAGTCAAGCGAGTCATCAGCCTAAAGTCATTACATACCCACTGACGGTCTAAGTGCAACCCTTCTTGAATTCTGCTGTGCGGAATTCTAGTGCCAACTTAGTAAGATTAATGTCAGGCACAAAGAATCAGGACAACAGATAGAGTTCCAGGTAAGATGATTTATTGTTCATGCCTATATACAAGAAGCTAGCCAATTGATGTTCAGCACTAAATTGGCACTAGATAAGAGTCAACGAAATTCAAGAAGGTTTGGACTTCGATTGTTTGAACGACTAAGACTCTAGGCTGATGACTCGCGTGACTCCACCCACCTGGCTCTGCCTGCTCTTCTCCTACACCAGGGGTCTCCAAATTTGGCAACTTTAAAACTTTAAGCCAGCTGAAGAATTCTGGGAGTTGAAGTCCACAAGTTGACTTAAAGCTGCCAAGTTTGGAGAACCCCGTTCCACATTACGGCTTTCAGAGGCACGGGCGTTATGCACGCTTCCCACCACACGTTATGGAAAAGAGGACATGCAAACCTGTATGAGTTCAGCTGCGGGTTTCCTTCTTTTTTCAAAGTGCTTTTGGCGATGTTGTTCCTGGACTTTTAGGGCCAGTCCTGAACCCAAAATGCCCTGTAAGGCAAGATGAACAAATCAACGCTTGAAATATTTCTTCATGGAAAGTGTAGGATGCAAAAAATCTCTTCCACCAGGTGACCACATAACAAAGAGTAGGAAATCTAGCTTCTTCTAATTTTTCAGGAGAGCAGAAGCTGAATATGGTCCAGTGAAGTCTGGAGAAACGTGAGATACGTCAGTAGGAATGCTCGTAAAAATTATAGTGAGAATAATACAAGCCATATGGGACACTTTATCACCATCTGCTGTTGTTGGTGCTTCCACAGTCAAGAATGTCAATTTCTTCACTCTGTTCTGCCTTCCCTTTTCTTAGGACCTAACAAGTATCCCTTGGGATTCAATCCCAAAGGTGCTTTTTCAGGAGGCAACTGGACTTTCTTGTTTTTCTTTGAAGACGTTTCGCTTCTCATCCCAGAAGCTTCTTCAGCTCTTGGATGAGAAGCGAGAAGTTCTTCAAAGAAAAACAAGGAAGTCCAGTTGCCTCGTAAAAAATAATCTTTGGGATAATTATGGCCTGGATGACTGAGACTCTCCATAGACCTTGAATTCAATATTCCAAACATGACTTCCGCTCACTAAGTTTGGGTGATACTTAACAGCTCGCCTGTTTTAGGATTTCTAGTTCCTCCTGCTTATTTACCCATATCCTGTGTAAGGATATACAGGTCGTACTTACATTATGACTGTAATGGAGCTTACGTAGTATAGTGTTGGTAAAACAGGTAAAAAAAATATGTTGTTCATTACAGCAGGGCTTTTCAACCTTTTCACCCATTGTACCACTTTTAGGATATGGCAACATCCGAGTACCACCAGTCGCCTAGCAAGGTGTCAAAAACTTGATGATCCCCCCCAAAAAGGAAAAAAAGCAATAAAGTACAGGTAGTCCTCGACTTACAACAGTTTGCTTAGTGACTGTTCGAAGTTACAATGGCACTAAAAAAAGTGCCCCAAGCACAGCCGAGCAAGGCACCTGCCTGCCCGCCCGGCCGCGCTCTTCCTCCTGTCCGAGGTTTTCATTGTTGTCAGCATTTCTGTTGAAATGCTCACAACAGCGGGGGTGGGGTGGGGGGTGTTTGGTTTTTATTCCCCCTGTCTGCTGGGTGGTTGCAGCAGGTTTTGGTCACTTCACATGACCCTGGGACACTGTGACCGTCATAAATATGAATCAGTTGCCAAGCATCTGAATGTAAATCACAAGACCCTGGAGATGCTACAACATTCCAGCTGATCGGCGCTTCTTCTGGGCTCAGCCAAAGCACCAGGATCATCGCCGAGCTCCAGCTGGAGCCTGGCACTGATCCTGGCACTTCCGCTGAGCCCTGACAGCCCTGCAGCTCCAGCCATCTCTCACTCAGGCTTGTGCAGTGCTGCCACCGGTTCAGCTCATTCCCCTCCCCCGCTACCAATTTTCTAGGATGGTCGCGTACCACCTGCCAGGTGCCAATGTACCACAGGTGGTTCCCGTACCACTGGTTGAAAAGCCCTGGTCTAGTTCCTCCTGCTTATTTACCCATATCTTGTGTAAGGATATTCAGGTCGTACTTACATTATGACTGTAGTGGAGCTTGCATAGTATAATGATGGTAAAACAGGTAAAAAAAATATGTTTTTTGCACTAGTCATTATGCGAACATGGTAGCTGTAAGTCCAAACCCGTTGTTCATTACAGAAACGGATGCCCTTTTATTTTCAGAGGATGAACCTCTGAGGAATTGCAAGGAAGATTTCAGGAATGGCACCCTGATCTCACACAAGGTCGTTGATGAAACTTACAGCTGGAAGGGCAAAAAACGAAACTCCAATAAGGGAAAACGCTGCTGCAATCAGGCGCCCTTCCCACGTTTTCGGTGTCTTGTCCCCGTAGCCGATGGTTGCCAGCGTAATCTGTGGGGAGAATGTTTGGGACAGTCTGTAAGAAAGACAAAGCAAACGAGCAAGAAGAATGACTCCTTGGCACTTCCAGAGGCCCCGTTCCACACCCAGACTCTGCCTCTCACCAGACTGGTAAGCCTGAGGATGAGGAACTACGCCCTGGAGGGCCCTGGACATTTATTATTGTCTGTAAGATTTTGAGTCTGTTGGAGTACGGGGCAGAAAAGTCATTCTGCAAGTTTTGTTTTCACACAAGACTGTAAAATTTTCTCCTTCCTTCCTTCCTTCCTTCCTTCCCTTCCTTCTTCTCCCACCCCTCCCTCTTTTCCTCCCTCTTGCCCATGCATCCATCCATCCATCCATCCATCCATCCATCCCCTACTCCTTCCTTCCCCCAGCTCTCTCTCTGCTTTCCTTCTCCCACCCCTCCCTCCTTTCCTCCCTCTTGCCCATGCATCCATGCATCCATCCATCCATCCATCCCCTACTCCTTCCTTTCCCTAGCTTTCTGCCCCTTCCTTCCTTTCCTTCCTTCTCCTACCCCTCCCTCTCCATCCCTTCTTCCCTCCCTCCCTCCCCCACCCATCCCTCCCCTACTCCTTCCTTTCCTTCCTTCTCCTACCCTCCCTCTCTCCATCCCTCCCTCCCTCCCATCCATTCATCCCCTACTCCTTCCTTCCTTCCTTCCTTCCTTTCCTTCCTTCCTTCTCCTACCCCTCCCTCTCTCCATCCCTTCTTCCCTCCCTCCCCCATCCATTCATCCCCTACTCCTTCCTTCCTTCCTTCCTTCCTTCCCTTCTTCTGCCTATAACTAATACCACCCAGTAGCTGAGTCTACAGGACTCAGGAATTTTGGTTGCAAGAATCACCCATTATCTGGGTGTCCACTGTGTCAAATTATAAACACACAGACCCACACTCATCAGCACTAACATTACCCAGGCCTAGAAGATTGTACAACTAGGACTAACTGACCTGGTTCAGCAATGTGGTATGAGCACAGCCCACACAAGTGATATCCAACAATAAAATGAGAAATACAAATCCCAAATGTAGAAGAATTCTGCCCTATTTAGATGAAAGATCCGAAACAAAACCTCCAATCAGAACGATCACCGTTGATACTGACCAGTCCCCACCAGAGGGCATCAGCATAGGTCCCAAACTCTTTCGTCTCTTTCCCATCCTCATCTTTTTCCAGCACGTCCTTCTCCACCAGATAAACCAGGAATGAGGAGAGAATAAGGGTCAAGAACCCGATGTACCAGGCAGTGATGAGCTCCTAAGAGGGAACAGAAGGCCATAAGCGAAAGGAAAACACTCAACCCAACCAGGAGAGTCCAAATTTAAAGCTAACTAAATTAAGTTGATGAAGATTCTCAGCCATCCAAGTAGAGTCAGGCTGAAGAAGCTACTTAGATAAGCAACGAAACATTCAAACTAATGAATCCACCTTGACCAGTAAGGCTTGTCCCAAGAGTTTGGGTTGCTTTGGACAAGAACCTCAGAAAGTCTCCTCTCTCCTCACAAGTCTGTCTTCTCATCTATACGGTTGTTGATGCTTCTCATTCTCTTTTGCATGACTAGAGATTATCTTCTTTCTTCTTTTTTGTAAAGTTTTTATTAATTTTTTTTCATACAATTCAATACTATATAACAGACATGTCAAACACAAGGCCCGGGGGCTGGATGCGGCCCGCGAAGTGGTTTCATGTGGCCCACGAAGCCATCCTGGAAACAGTGAGGGAACGGCCCCCTCTGCCTTGGCCCTGGCCCAAGCCAGCCAGGAGCTAATGTACAATTTTGTGGTGGCCATCTATGCTGAAACACATTCAGCCTTAGCTCCACAAGGCTAAGTGAGGAACCAGTAGAACCTTGAGCAGCAACCTTGAGGAAGTAGGACTGGGCTTGGTGCCACGGACGCTCAAGGGCCAGGCTGGGCATTTGACCTCTGCTGCCCAGGGCTCCGGGCAGCCCGCGCCACCATCCAGCCCCCACCCCGCATGGCCTGAGAGGAACAGTGAGGCTCTTCCAGTGGACCATGCCTTGGCACTTGCCCTGGTCCCACCCCCTTCTGTCAGAGACCCTCAGATCTGTCCCACTCCTGCCCAGCCCCCCACAGGCACGCTTGATGCGAACGATGTAGAACTGGCCATGCCCACCCAGTAGGCCATACCCACTCCACCCACACCCACCCAGTAGGCTGCACCCACCCTGGCCACACACACCCGGCCCCCCGAGGGCAACCACAATGCTGATGTGGCCCTCAATGAAATTGAGTTTGACACCCCTGGTATATAATATAAGGAACAGGAATTGGGTATGTCTAGTTTAACGAAGAGAAGGACGAGGGGGGACATGATAGCAGTGTTCCAGTATCTCAGGGGCTGCCACAAAGAAGAGGGAGTCAAGCTATTCTCCAAAGCGCCTGAAGGCAGGACAAGAAGCAACGGATGGAAACTAATCAAGGAGAGAAGCAACCTAGAACTAAGGAGAAACTTCCTGACAGAACAATTAACCAGTGGAACAACCTGCCTCCAGAAGCGGTGAATGCTCCAACACTGGAAGTTTTTAA